AAATATTACTATAAGGTGAATAATGTGCAAGACCAATATGTTGATTCAGAACAATAACCACATAATGCATGAAATATATCAAGAATATGAACAAGATCACCATGATGAGTTAAATTAAGAAAATATCTAAATAAAAGTTTTTTAATGAGAAAAATAAATGAAATAATATTTACTTTTCAAATCGTTGTTGATTAAGTAAACGAAGTTTATTTAATGGTAAATGAACTTTACGACGTAATTGATCAGCTATAAAACTTCGTCCACGTAGTTGACAATGTGAACAGCCTAATCTTTTAATTATTCCAAATAAAAAAGAAACATTTTCGATTAAATTTTAAATAAAAAGTCTAATATAAACCTAAGTGTTATATCAACAGCTAATTGAAATTTTTCTTCTTTTGCATCAATTTGTTTTAACCATTGTTCGATTTGTTCATCATCACTTGTTGTACCAGTATTACCAATAGTTAATAATTGTTTTTTATGCATACCATCTTCTGTTGATGATATAACAGCCAAACCAAGTAATACATCAAGCATATTCATAACTAATTCACAAACTTTTAAATGATGTTCTTTACAAATAACAGCATGTATACCAGCTAAAACAACACCAAAATTAATTGTACTATTACGATTAATATATACACTTTGAACCTTGTGCTTCTTCAATTTCTTCTAAAAATTTATAATTTATTTCTGAATCACTAACACTATGTTTTGATTGTAGTTAAATTTGTTGTTTGTGAAATTGGTTTTGGTGGAGTTAATATACTATCAACGGATTGTCGAGCTGTATTACTAGTTGGTGGTGGTTATTATGAACGATCAGATTGACTTAGTGTTGTTGTTTTAAGTAATAATAAAGCGGGATCAGTTAAATGAATTCAACTACTTTTTGAACGATCATTTGTAGCTAAATCCAAATGCTTAATACTTCTTCATCAATATAACGAATTTTACTAAATAAATCAAAACATCTAGACACTAATAAAAAAAGGACATTTTCTATTTCTCATAGATTTGTGATTCTTTTCTTAAAAAATCTTATGCAAATAATGAGAAAACTATTAGATTTCTATGTATTACGCTTTGATCAATAATTGTTTTTCTCTTTTTATTTTTATTAAAAAAAGTGATATTAAAAAAAAAGAATTAATTAGTTAATTAATATATAATACCTGATTTTCTTATAAAAATTATCATAGTTTTAGCTATGTTTATCAGTATATGGACTTTTTTCAGCAAAATATTTAAACGGTACATTTAATAAATGAGTTGGTTGTTTAATTGATGTTGATGCTGATATATCACCAATACCTACCATCATACATTGTTGTTCAATAATATCATTTGTAACTTGTTCATTAAAATAAATATTTTTTAAATATTCATAATAATCTTGTTTATTACCAAGATTTATTTGTGGTATACGAAAGACTTTTAAACCGAAGAATATTTATTGGTAATGTACCATTCATTAAAGTATCAGATAATATTTCATCTGATATATCAATAATACGTTTATGTAAATATTCTAAACACCATAAATAACTATCTGTTAACCATGATGGATTAAATAATGTATGTAAAATTCTAATATCAAAATATGTCGCAAGTAGAAGTAATTCAGATGAACGTGTAGATATACAAGGTTTTGTTGTTAATACACTATGATGACGTGTTGTTGATGTTAAATCTTTTTGTTTCGTCGATTTTAATCAAACTGATGGAAGATCAAAGATTGAAGGAGGTGTTTTTGGTATAGGTGTGGCTTTTGTAGTTGTACAATTTGAGCAAATATATGGAATATTTGTCGGATGATTTGGTGCAAATATAGGTTGTTGACATTGTGAACAATATAATGGTAAAAGAACAGATGATATTGATGTTGAGGATGATGATGAACCAGGACCATCTGATAAAACATTAAATTTATCATCAGCTAGAAAATATAGAAAATGATGATTAAAGAAGCTTTTTCTTTTGTTTTTTTACCTGGACTTTCTGGTGATGTTGTTAAACGACTTGAATAAGAAAATAAACAAATTGACTTATATGTGCAAGTAGTGGTCATGTTTTTGTATCATCTGATATTTCATAAATACTAAGATCAGTTATAGAATTATTTGTTGTTGTATCAGAATTAGCTTGAATATATAATGTCGATTTGTGATCTTTTGTTGTTGTTATTGGTTGAAATAAACTTGTACTACTTCCTTTACTAACAACAATAAGTGCCATCATTAATGGTTGATTTGTTAAATCAGATAATAGTTGTTCTTCTGATACTGATTGTGATAATTATATCGTAAATTCATTTGTTATTGTTGGTTGAGATAATAATGGCGTTGGTTGTAGTGAAAGTTAAGATTGTAAATCTTTTTCAACCTCTTCAATAGCTGCTCTTGATAGTGATATGAATGTTGGTGATTTGACCAAAACCGATAAATGATTACGTTTACTATTATTTATATAAAATGTTTGTTGTTGTTGCTGTTGTGATGAATCATGTATAGTTAATATATATATTCTTCATTTTCATTTGGTGATGCATATGATAGTGTAATTGGTTTAACAAATGAACTAAGTATACGTATATTTGGTTGACGATATTCAAGTAATGGATGCCATATAGGTTGCATGCCTTGAGTAAGATCAATATTTGATAAAAATTCTTTTTCATTTGTTTGTAAGTATGTATGAATATATGAAATAAATAATTGTATTGTATTTAATGATAAAAGTTGATCATTATTTATATATATAGAATTATTAGAATTATTTTGACTAGAACCATACAAGATAAGATAATGTAATGTTTGTTGAATTGAATGAAGACTATGTTCAATTATCGCTGAGCATGCATGCATTACATATGGAAATACTTGAAAATAGTTTTGTTTTTGTATATCTTCTCATAAGAAGAAATTAACTAACCACTTTAATAAAAGGATGAATTTATTCATCCAAAATAATTTCTTTCTTTTCTTATCTTTTCAATATTTATGTTATTTTCCATTTGTCGAAAATAAATAGACTTAACATGCGAATGATATAGTAACGAGAAAAGAAACAAAATTTATCCATCAACATGTCGATCCTTTTCTCCTCCTCCACATCGTCATCATCATCACCTTCTTCTTCAAATAATAATGACTTTAAATCAGGAATATCTTTTTCACTTGCTGAAACATTTCTATCGTTATATCAACTTTTTTTCAATACTTAATAAAACACATAGTGATCATGTATCATTTGTTGTTTTTTAAACTTTATTAGACATCATCATTTTCTTTTGATGTTTCATCATCAAGATTAAATATTTAACATGTACTTGAAATATAATCACAATTAAAATAATTATTTGATAATAATAAAATTGGATTTATGTTTAAATATTATTGAAAAAAATCTTTGTTATCAATAAAATATTTATCATCAATAATAATAACAACATCTAAATCATCATTATCAACATCATCAATTGTAATTCTACAAGGAACATGTCTATCACTATCTATATTATTTTCATTAAATTATATATCCAACTAGTCTAGTAATTGTACCGTCTCACCGTATAAAAGATGTTTTATTTTCGTACATTAGCAGTATTTCTTACTAACGTCTTTGCCTTCTCTTACTATCTTTCTGGTGACACATGAATTACTTTTTATTTGGAATTTATTTCGTCTTAACTGTCTCTCTCTCATCAGCTATCTTTAATGATATTGGTTTCTTTTGTTCGTTGTTATTTCCATTGTCAATCATAGTTATCCTGCCAACATCTTTTTCTCCCTTTTGTCTTGCTTGTTGAGGCAATGAATAGGCGACATCTTTTTTAATGTGCAGAGAATGAAAAAAATGTTGAGTAGCGAAATGAATGTGACAGATACGTGATTGTTGAATAAACGATTGTTTTTTATCATCGACAGTCACAGGTGAATAAAAAAAATAAAAATAAGCATTATTTGATTGCTTATGGGGCCTAAGCCTTCGTATACAAAGAAAGACGTGACTAAAAGAAAATATGCATAGCAATAGGTTACTCATAAAAAATATGCATGACTTAACTTCAATTTGTAACGATACATCCCCCTGCCAATGAGAAAAAAAGCCCTCTCTATGGACAAAAATAAACCTGTGTCTCTCTCTAATCGGAAAAAATATGCGTATCTCTCGCTGACTACAAAGAAACCTACGTCTCTCTCTACTAGAAAAAAATTTGCGTATCTCTCTCTAACAGAGAAAAATTACCTCATCTCTCTCGCCATCCATGAAAAATATTTTTTTTGCTAGGCTATCAAAGAGTATATAAAGCCGAAGCACCGTTGTGGGACTGTATCGTTGGCAATCTTAAATACAAGTAACATTTTCTTCTCCATTATCGACAATCAAAAAGTGACAATGAAGAGATTTAATGCAATTGTTTGTTTGGTCATGCTTATGGCGTTGGTGGTAATAACTCACAATGCTAAAGTGGCTAATCGCCACAAGTCCACACACAAGCCTAGAAATCCTTCTTTTATCACAAGGCTTCAGGTATCAGTACCAGTCATATAATCAACTACAAATATTTGCTCCTGCTTCAAAAGAATATTTGAACAGTTGTTTCCTACGGATTGTTCCTTAATACAGTGTTCTCCTATGACACGATCGAATCCACATATGTCCATACAATCAAACAAAATATTTTAATAGTTGTTTAGTATAAATTATTCTTCGATCTCGAATGCTTCCATAACGTAATCAACTGTAAATTCTTCCTTTGAACTCAGCGAAATATTTGAACAACTGTTTGGTCTGAGATTTTCCTTGATAGAGCGTTCTTCGGTGGTGCAATCAAAATGACATATTTCCTTCACTTTAAACAAAATATTTAGATAGTACTTTGGTGTGAGCTGTTCCTCAATAGAGTGTTCGTCAATGACGAAATCACACTCAAATGATTGCCTAGAACTGAACGAAGTAGCCATATAAATATTTCATATGGGCTATTCCTTGATTCAACGTTTTCTGATGGTATAATTGAGTACCATTTTCCACGTCAACTTCCAGCAAATTTTTGAATGATTCTTTCCTATGACTTGTTCCTTGGGCGAGTTTTCGTCGCAGATTCAACCATACTTAAATACTTACTATGAAGTTGATGAAATAGTGAAACGGGCTTTTCATATGAGTCATTCTTTGATAGAACACGCTCCGACGATACAATGAACAAGGATTCTTTGCTTAAAGTTGAAGAAAATATTTGAATAACTCTTTCCTATAAGTTGTTCCTTAAACGAGTGTTTGTCACCCATCGACCAAACTCGAACACT